TTTATTCTTTCTAAATTTTATCTCATCCCCTAAGTTTCTGAATTTTCCTGCACATTCTACCATGCCAATCTCACAGAGGATGGAGTTCTAAGATTCCGAGAAATCCCATTCTTCGATGCTCCAAATTTTATTTTCCAAATATAAAGAAAGGAATGCTGGATATTATTTATAACTGCTCAATTTTTATTATTGCTCAGGACACTCATTCTTTCAACAGATGTACTAGGCACTGTTCTAGTTGATGGAGATAGGGTAATGAAAAAAACAAAGTCCCTCTTTTAATGTTTCTTAGATTTTAGTGTGATAGATCCCATGGAGAAAAGAGAAGGCAGGGGAAGGGGTAAAGAGTGAAAGTTCAGGCATTCTTCTATTTCACAAGCTTAATTATCACATGGTTTCTTCATAGAGGAGACAAGCAAGCCCTATCTGATAGATGAGACTGAGCATATCTTAAGGAAGAGATAGCCATATGGATGTGGGGGGAAGGAGGGGCTTGCTCCCCACCAGTGCAAAAGCTTTGAGGTAGACATGTGATTGAGCATTCGAGAACAGTGGGATGGTTAGGGTGGCAAGTGTGGAACAGGCCCAGGGGAAAGTGATAGTAGATGAAATTGGAATTGTAGCCAAGAACCATCAGGTAAGGTCTTAGAGACCTTGGGAAAGATTTCACATTTTAGGACTGGGGGTTTATCTCAGTGGTGCTATGCCTGCTTGGCAAACACAAGGTCCCAAGTTCGATCCCTGGTACTACAAAAAAAAAAAAAAAAGAGAGAGATTTAACATTTTATCCTAAGTGATATGAAAGACTAGTGACAGGAAGAAGAACAACATGATCTGACCTGTTGAAAGTACCACTCTAGCAGCCCATGAAGAATAGATTACAGGGGACCCACCAAGGCAGAAACAAGATTAATTAGCTTGCTTTTGGAGTGGTGCAGGTGACAGATAGTAGTGTCAAGTAGTGAAAGTGATGAGAAGTGATTTGGTTCTGGGCATTTTTCCAAGGCAGAGTGTATAATTTAGCTCTATGTTACCTTAACAAAATACTTGAAGTCATTAACTTATAAAGACAAAAATTTTTTTTTGACTCATGGTTCTTGAGGTTCTAGTCTAGTGGTGGTGAACCTATGGCATGCTTCTATTTCTTTTAGCTTGAAATTTGACATTCTCTATTTCATCTTTTAATGTCATGCTTACTGTTTGTTATCACTGAAAGCTCTAAAAGGTTTGCTGTCACTGTTGTAGTTAATATTGGATGGCTCCTTGTTTTGGGCTTCTGGTGAGGACACCAGATAGTAATGGCAGGGAACATGTAGTGGAGTAAAGTACTCACAGCATAAGTCAGGAAGAAAAGAGAGACAAGGAGACCAGAGTTCCACATAACCTTTGAGGGCATCCTCCCAATGACTTAAAGGACCTTTCATAAGGCTTTACCTGAGGGTTCACAGCACTTCACAATAGTGCCATGCTGGGGACCAAGCCTGTATGCATGGACCTTTGTGGGACACTATCAATTTTCAAACCAAAGCACAGAGTCAATAGAATTTGCCGATTGGTGGATATGTGCATAAGAGAGTAGAGTCAATGTTCATTACTATTTTCTCACCTGAAAAACTGAGTGATAAAAACTGCAGTCTACTGGCACGAAGAAGATAGGTTGAAGAGGAGGTAGGACACAAGAGTTTGACTTGGCATATGTGAAGCTTTAGGTGACTATTAAACATCTAAATGATGGTGGCTGGATATTCCAGATGTTAATTCAGGAAAGAGGCCATCAGAGCAGGAAATAAAATTTGAGTATGCCAAAGCAAAAGACTGAATGAGATAACCATAGAAAATGGGATAAAGAAAGTATTAAGACTAAGGACTGAACCTAGAGACATGTCAATATTTATACATAGGAGGGAATTTGCAGCAGCAATCAAGAGAGAGAGAGAGAGAAGCCTTAGGATGGAGACAACCAAGGACAATGGAATTCCATGGGCCAAGCTTTCTCAAGAAAGAAGGAATGATTAGCTAATACATTACAAATCTGCTAATACACTTTTATTTTACAAAGACAATTTACCTTCTATTTCTGCATTCCTTTTTCAGTTTCACCCTGCATGTTCTTTGATGGGGGAATCTCAGAATTTTTCATTGATCTCATCCCACCTCATCTAGATCCCTTCCCATTTCATAATAGTTTCTATCTACATCTTCCCAGAAACCTTGGCTTGGTCATTTGCAGGAACAAAGAAGGTTATGACATGAAGCATAAGTGTGAAATTGTTTGTGTGAGGTTAAACTATCTGCTTCAAAAGCATCTCTAGGTCAGTTTCTACAGAGTTACTCCTCCATTCTGACTCTGTTTGCAAAAAATTTCAGGAATAAAACTCACAGCATTGTGAAGCTGCTATTTCTATCACTGCCACATTTGTAATAACATGGTAAAAATGACCAATATCTCATAATGTAAATATCACTGAATTTGAACTTACAATATTTAGGTTCCTGTCCTGGCTTTCATAAAATGCTGTGTGATGTTGAGAAAAACACCTTTAATTAAACTAGGTCCAAATTAGTAAATAAGTAGTCAGGCACAGTGGCACACACTCGTAATTCCAGCACTGAGGGTGTCTGAGGCAAGAGAATCATAGGTTCAAATTCCTCCTGGACAATTTAGCAACACACTGTCTCAAAATAAAAAGGGCTGGGGATGTAGCTCAGTGGTAGAGCACCCCTGGATTTTAATCCCTAGTGCCAAAAAATAGTTAGTAAACAAGTGTCAACCTATGAGCCAAGGTAGAAAAATATTTATGTACAATTATTAGTTGTTTGCTGCAATTCTTGCTCAGTCTCTCATTTTCATCATTTGTAGATTCCTTTGCACTTCCTATGCCATCAGTAATATAAACTAAAACAAGGAACATCTGTCTTTTCTTTTTCAGTTTACATTCATCTTTGTTGCTTGTCTCATTGCTTTGGTCAGATATCAGTTAATTAATGAATACTATCAGGGACTGGAGAAATTCTTGTCTTGCTCTTGACTTTAATAGTGTTGCTTCTAACAATTCTGCATTCAGTATGGTGTCTGCTATATTTTTCTTACCATTTGAGAGGGGAAGTGCTGGGACTTGAACCCAGGGCCTCACGCATGGTAGACAAGCACTCTGCCATTGAGCTATATCCTCTAGCCTCCTACAAATTTTTGAAACTATGCATTGTGTATTGAATTTTATTGAGATTTTTATTATAACTTCTAAGGTGATCACATGTTGTTCTGCATTTAATCAATGTGATAAATTATGGTCTGGGGATATACATCAGTGGTAGAGTGTGTGTTCAGTCCTTTCCCCCAAAATGATAGATTATGCTGACAAAATTTTATAGTATTGGCCCATTCTCACATTCCTGGGAATTCTTGGGAGTGCTGCAGAACTCAGGGAATCACATTTACTGGATTATTGTAAAGGGTATTGCAAAAGATTCAGTGAATAGCCAAACGAAGCAGTAAGGAGGGCAAGCGTCCAGAGAACCAGAGCGTCTGTCCTTGTGGAGCTGAAGTGGGGCACCCTCTCACCTCTCACCAGTCCAATGCTCTCTGAACTTCATAGTTTAGGAAATTGTCTGGAGACCTCATGATATAAGCCTGCTTAATTATTACTTCAGTCTCCAGTCTTTCTCCCCTCTCCACAGGATGGGAGATGGGGCTGCAAGTTTCAAGCTTCCAATTATGGGTTGGTCTTTCTGATCAAAAGCTCCCATTCTGAAACTATCCAGGAACTCATCCAGAGTCATTTCATCAAAACAAAAGATGCTCTTAGCTCCTGGGAAATTACAAGGGTTTCAGGAGCTCTGTACTGAAACCAGACACAAAAACCAAATTTCTCATATCATGCAGTACACATATTTATAACTCTTATTTCTAACAAATTAATCCCTTTATCATGGAATTTCTCTCTTTGTTCTAAGATTAACTTTATCTGATATTTATGAAATTACTACAGACTTCAATTTAGTGGCTGAATAATATAATTTTATCCATCCATTTACTTTCACCCCTTCTATACCTTTAAAGTGCACCTTTTATTAATGAGACAGTTCAATCTTGGTTTTTCTTTTTATCCATTTTAATAATCTTTTGCCTTTTAATTGGAGTATTTAGTCTACTTACACTTAGTATAGTTATTGATGTGGTTGGGTTTAGGTCTACCATTTTACTGTATTTTATGTTTGCTTGGGCTCTTTTGGATTTGATCATTTTTCCTTTCTTCCTTTTGAGAAGTTATTATTATAATACTTTTAGAATTCTATTTTGTAACTTTGTTGACCTTTAACTACCTATATTTGCATTATTTTCTCCTTATTGGCCATTTGGATACCATTTGTTATGAAATATTTGAGTCTCTTGACCATTGAGTTATCTGTCTAATGTTTTTTTTTAATTTGTAGGAGTTTTTTTTAATATTCTAGATTTAAGACCCCCATGAGATACATGAATTGTGATTATCTTCTCCCACACTATGACTTAATTTTCATTATCATAATGATTTATTTTGGTTAAAAGAAACCTTTATTTTGTTGTAACATACTCTTAGCTTTTATCATCTCTAACATAGGGTTAACAACTAATATCTCACTCACAAGATTGTTATGAAGAATGAATTAATGAATGCATGCACAGCTCCTGGCACTTAGAAAAGTTCAATCAATATTCTGCCCAGTGCTACCCTTTGTCCCCCACCTAACTTTCTATTTACTTTGTTTCTGCATCTCTGAGAAGTCATGTTGTATAACAGAAAAGGCAGACCATATTACCATGATCAATTCTTAGCCTGAATCTATGAATCTATTTGAAATAGAAAATAAAATTCCACTTTTAAGATTCATTTGTTCCTTCATTAGTGAAATAAGCATGACATGTTCTCACGTGTCAGCTGTATGATCTTGTTTATTTAAACCCCAGATAGGGAAGCAATGTGAGAAAAAGTGGTTTCATTTTAGTGGCTGACACCCAGAGAACGATATGGCTGCTTCCCCAACACGACTCATGCTAATCTCTCTCCTCAGCCAGTTGACAGGTGAGTCCGGTCAGACCCTTTCCTGTTCTCCTAGTTGCCTTCTTGATCCTGAGATACAGCTCTGGGCTCCTGGGTCCACTCTTGACCTCTGGCTCAACTCAGGGGGCTCTACCTCCTCATTTAGCACTGCTTCTTTTTAAAAAGCCAATCTCTAGTCCTTGGGCAAGAAGAAACTATAGAAAGAGAGGGAAAAAGAAACTCTAGGGACCACCTTCCTTGCTGCCTGCCCCAGGAAGGAAGGGCTGAAAGAAGAGATGCTGGGTATGAGAAGGCTTATGTTCTGCTATGATTTCATGGGAAATGTCAAACTTCCCTGGAGCTCAGTGTTTCTCTTCCAGCCTCCTTCCCTTTGAGGGCAACTTTAAAGCAAAATTATATGGGTGTGCATTTATTTATTTATAAATACATTTTATTTAAATGCACTTTATGTTTTACTGATTATGCATAACAATTCTATTGCTATAAGGAGTCATTTGAATTTTCCCTCTAAATGCAAGCAATCCAATCAATCTTTACTTAGAAAACTATTCTTCCTATGGGCACAGTATGTTTAATCACATAGAGGACTGAGGAATCTTGTGTACCTGTCACTGAAATGATAGTCCTTGAAGATTTTACTACCCTCAGTGTTCTCAGAAAGGACCAAGAGCCCCATAGGTGAGAAATGTCTCTCTTGTCATCAAACTCATGGACCTAGCAGAGCTGTTCATTATGTGTACCCCATAACTGCCTAAAATGACTTGTCAAAACCACACAGGCAGTCAGCACTCCCCAAGCTTTCCTCCCATCATTTGGCCTCACTGAGCTGTCTGCATCTGCAGACTCACCACTCCCTGAATTCTCATCAGAAGTTTGCATTGTTAAGAGACACTTGGATCTGCCAGGCTTGGTGGTGCATGCTTGTAATCCCAGCATTCGGGAAGGCTGAGGCAGAAGGGTTACAGGTTTGAGCCTAAACTAGGCAGTTTAGCAAGTTAACAAGACCCTGTATCAAAATTGAGAAGGAGAAAGAGAAGGAGGAGAAGGGGTTGGGGAGAAAGAGAAGAAAGAGCAGCACCTGGTCCTAAGCAGGTGGTCTTGCAATAGGCTTACTTTAGAAGTCTCTGAACTGAAACAATGACCAGAAATGGAACTCAAAGAAGGTGAGATGGGGGAGGAGATGCTGGGGCTTTAAAAACTCCCAGGTGTCCATGTGAAATGTGAACTTTGTACAAGAAGGTATAAACATTCAACTCTGCCATAGGGGCCTCTTCTTCCCTGCTCAGGGAGCCTGAGAGCAGTGATGTAGAACCCGGCTATGACTGAAAGTACTTAGAGATTGTTCTAGAGCAATGGAGGCAAACCTATGGCATGCATGTTATTTGTTTTTTTCTTTTAAGACAAAAGATGTTAATGTGTGAGTTGTTTTTTCTAAACTAAAACCTCAGGATTCAAGATTCATGGCAATGTTGGCACTGTGTGATAAATAAGTGGGTTTAGGGTTGGAGTTTGGGCACTCACCATCACTGTCCTGGAGCCTCCAGCAAGTAGGGCAGTAGAAGGAGTGATGACCCTGGACAAGGACATCCTGGTTTGATTAGTAGCTGTGTTATTGTGTGCAAGTTATGCACCCTCTGACCCTTATTTAATCTTCTCAAGTGCATAACAGGTAAGGGAATCTAACTTGGCAGAATTATTGTAATGTTTTAAATGAGATATAAAATGCAAAGTAATTATAATAATAATCACCATTTATGCTCCTACTCCATCCAAGGTGTTTTTCATACCATCTCATAAGTCTATAAGACAGGTATTATTATTATTATTTTTTGTACCAGGGATCGAACTCAGGACCTTGCGCTTGAAAGGCAAGGACAGGTATTATTGTCCCTAATTTACAGGTTAAGAAAGTTAGGCTCAGAGAGATCAGGTTTCATGGGCAAGACAGAACCATTAAGAGGCATAGCAGACCCAGCACTTTGGGAGGTTGAGGTAGGAGGATGGAAAGTTTGATGGCAGCCTGATTAACTTAGTGACTTACTGAGATCCTGTCTCAAAAATAAAAAGGGAGCAGGGTGAGATGCAGCTTACTGAAAAGATCCTAGGTTCAATCTCCAGCACCCAAACAAACAAACAAACAAACAAACAAATGGTACAGCAGAGACTGAGTTTCCAAAGCTAGTGTTCTCATCACACCAAATTAACACTATACTTGACAGCAAAGAAGTACTCGATAAATATGTATTTGAGCACAGAGCGTCTTCCTTCTCCAAGTACACAAGCCCAAGTTAGGCAGTGGAAGGACCAAAGAGAATAGGTGGCACTGTTTTGGGGATGTGGCTACACCAACAAGGAGTCACTCTGCCCAAGGTCAGAGCAGCTTTAATAGCCTCAGACATCTCATCTGGAGAATAGGAGCTATAGTCTGATTCCAGCATGTTTTGTGGTGATTAATGGTGCAGTCATTTGGAAGGAACAATAAAAGAAAAACAGAAAAAGGGAAAAAGATAAGGATGAGTTGGTGGGTGATGAGTGTGGGCAGCATGGTGCTGAGGAGCTCAAATGCCAACCCGGCAGGTAAGGGCAGGACCAGTGGAAATGGTGTGTGATGATTTGGGGGATTTGCAAGTTCCCGTTCTGTACACATCCCACACGGTATTGATTTATAATGTTATTTTCAGGGGAAATTAGTAAAGGAGAAGTTAGTTAAAGAGCAGTAGATTCTAGACTTTTTTAAAACAAACATTACAAACACATAAATGACTACATAGAGAACTGACACCTCTCTGATGGTGGGGAAGTTCTGTAAACTCTGGGCATCACCCTCTGTTCTCCTTTGCCTCCCTTAGGCCACCTCCTAAGCTTCCCAGAAATACATGGAAACGTTCAGACTCCCTGGGTAGCTAGGGCACACTTCAGGAAAGCTTACCTTATGAGCCGCGGTTCACTGACTTGGAGCTTGTCACCCTACCCTTCTGATCGCTGGCCTCATCACCTGTGAAATGGACTTGGACAGAATAGCCCCAACCTTTCTCAAAGTCCTGAGACATTCTCGTTCTTGGTTTCCATGAGGAGAGAGCCACAACAAGTTTGTGCCTTCTTGGCCTTTTGATATGGGGAGCCAAGTGCCTGAAGAGGCACTCAGGGATGGGGATAGCAAGTAGGAGTGGGCTTTAAGCTCCCCTCGCCTGAAGTCTTCCCCCTGGATCACCATCCCTCAGTCCTGGCTGCACTGGCAATGTACCTTTTGTAATTTGGCTTCTGATCTCCACTAGCTCCTCGGTCTTTGGGGGATATGACAAAGAGAGAAAGTGACAATCAAGAAAAAAGGGGGAGATGATAAAAGAGGGGAACTCTTGTCTCATCTTCTAAAGGGGGCACCTCAGAGCTGATGTTCTTGATGCCAAAATCATGAATCTTGGCCAGCTCAGAAGCCAAAAAATGCCCTAACTCATCTCCCTCCCCTCCAAGGGCAGATTGGCCAGGGGATGTTCAACTGTTGTCTTAAACTTGTGCCAAGAAGGTACCCAAAAGTATTTTGGGTGAGCTTCTTTTCTCACTTTTAGCCACCCTTGCAGAAATGAGACCAAAAAATGGGAAGGCTCGTCTACGAAGACAGCACCCCCTACCCTCAGCCCCTGCCTCACCCCTGCTGTCAGGGTGCTCTGAACTTCTTCAAATGCTTTTGGTTCCCTGTGCACACTTCAGCATTACGTGATTCTAGGAAAATTAAGGCTAGTGTTCAGAAAAGTGAAACTGAACATGGTTAGCAGTCAAGGAACATGATCTTCTGAAACAGAGGAACTACCTATCCTGCTTCTACCACTTCTTTGTTCAGGGCTTTGGGAAAGTCACTCAGTCCTGGTGTCCTCATTTGTAAAGTGGAGCTTCACCTCTATCTCCTGAAGTTGTTCTGAAGATCGAGAAAGACAGTGCCTATGAAACTTGTTTACAAACTGCACAGTGATATCAAGTGTTTACTGCTGGTGTTCTGATTAGGGAGGAACCAGAATGGAACCTGATCTCCTGACTCTAAGTTGATGCCTTTCTTACACTGCTCCATGTTGGAGGGTGTGTGGAGCAGAGGCCATTCCCACCCCTCTCTGGGCAGGACCCCATGTCTCCATCGCCACGAGATCTGGTACCTACTCCCTATGGACCAGTCATTAGGTAGTTCACCATCAAAGGATATGCACAGTCACCACTCAGGTGGATATTTGCTTCTGGAGATTTTAAAGTCAAATGAAGCAACTTAAGTGATGTGATAAAAAAAATATAGTGTGTGTTTACACATTCTTCAAAAATTTTTACAGTAAAACTATTGCCATGAATCCTTCTTAAAATACCCTTGCTTTGAACATACTTATCTCATTGTGCTTGCCACTTTCTGAAGTAGTTCTGTTAGTCCTCTTTTGTGTCTTTTTGTGTAACCCTGTCATAGTGTTATTGTATGTACTCGTGGTCTCACAACATAGAGGAATGAAGTTGCAAACCAAAGGTGATTAGGAGAGATTTTATTGGAAATAAGAACAAGATTCTTTCTTGGGTTTTTCCTGAATTTTTAGTAGGGGTCCCGAGTAGGTAGCCACTGAAGCTCTCTGACAAGGGTATTTTATACAGCAAAATCACAACTTGGGTGGCTATGGGTCAAACTACAATCAACCTATAGGATTACAAATGTAAGTCACTTAGCTAATATTGATCCAGTAGGGAATTGAGGTATGTAGCAAGGATATACTGGTGAGTATCATTAACCTTAGCTTATTTATAACTTCCGACATAGAAAGAACAAAGGGATGGTAGTATGGGTCTGGATGTTCTGGTCACCCACTTACACATCTGGGGCATTAGCCAGGCCCACTGGACCAGGTGGTGCTGATTACAGTATAATCTCAAGCTGCTGTTTATCTTTAGGGAAGTTTGCAGGCCTGGCTAGCACATCTCCATCTTAAAGCCTGGCTATCTCGTCTCCATCTTGAGGCCTGGCTCTCTTCAAATTCACTTCCAGCAGCAATTTTTAT